CTAAACCCTAAACCCCTTAGTTCCTTAACAGCAACCCAGGTTGTGGATCTTGCGCAGGCCATGCTTTTCCTGGAGCTTACTTGCGGTTTGGTGTAGGTAGGCGATGTCGTGGCAAGAAAGTTTGCCTAGGGTTTAGGGTTTAGGGTTTAGGGTGTAGGATTTCAAGGACCGTCGTTCGAAGCAGGTCCCCACAGTCAGGGCGTAGTGCTGGCAAAGTGGGATCTCCTCATATAGCTGGCTGTCAATTATGGTCCCCTTTGGGTCCCCCGCACAATAAGACCCCTAACACTTAAAGTACACAAAAGGGACCTGGATTTGACCGCATCTTTCTACCCTCAAATGAAGAGTACCCCCAAATACATGAAGACAGCCCAGCCAATGGGATCATAATTTAGGCAGCGTTACTTGCCCACGGTAGATTTTGTAGTCGTGAGAAGAGAGGGAGAGATCAAAATCCTCGTTTGGTAATGTACAAGAAGAATAGAACTATGACCTTACTTGCTGTAACCTTTACTTAACCATCAAAAGAACACTACCCAGTTGAAGCCAAGCAGCAGAGTAGGATCTTGGCAGGTGATGTGCCCGAAGCCAGTGAGCACCAATCCAGATGCTCCTGCCTTTCCGGACTACAACTTGGGGATTCAAGCTACGAGTTCCTGGCTCTCTTTTTTGGACAATTTTATTTCTCTGGCTGGCTGTGAGAATGGGACCCATTCACAACGCACCCAAGAACCCACCCAAAAACCCTAAACCCAGGTACCTTACACGTACCATACACCCCAAAAACCCCTTAACCCAGGTACCCTACACCCCAAAAACCCCTTAACCCAGTTACCCTACACCCAAGAAACCCCAAACCCAGGTTCCATTGACATGGACGCTCCCTACATCGTTAGCTTCATGCGCGCGAGCCAGCAGGCTTGGTGCCGGTCTCTACTGGGTGATTTCCCAAAATTGGGGTTTAGGGTTTAGGGTTTCCCAAAATTAGGGGTATGCCTTTTAAAGGGGTTGATCGGCGCTATTTAGGGATTAGGGTTTAGGGTTTCCCGAAATTATGAGAACCCTTCTGGGGGTCTCTATATAGTAAGGGTTTTAGTGTTCTATATTGGGGGTTGTGCCTTATGCTAGTATCTAGTATTCTGGGGTCGATATTTGGGGTCGCGCCTTGTATGCAAACTCCCGCTTGTCATTGGGGATGGTACAGCAGGGCTGCGTGTTTTTTTGAAAGCCTGGGGTCTGGAGTCTAACCCCCTCCCCCAATATAAATAGGTTTAGGGTTCAGGGCTTAGCAATGAAGTCCCAATATATGATGGGGAGAATATCTCGTCGCAAGGGGGTTTGAGGGATTTGTTGCTGGGCGGGGTGGGTATCAGGATGAAGGAGCATGGGGCTTAGGATTTAGGTTTAGGTTTTATTTTAGTATTTCGTTAGGCTTCAAGGAAATAGGCCTGCCTACCAAAGCGCAAGGTCCTTTGCGACACTATGACCTCGGTAGCCCCGAAAAAGTCCCCTATATAACCCTTATATTACCCCTATATAAACCTTATTATAATATGGTAGTTTCCATTTTCTTTTCCATTATCCCTATATAACCCCTATATTACCCCCCCTAGAAGTCAATGTCCAAACGGGGCTTGATACCGGGCAAGCGTAATCAAGCTACATCGTCCGAGGAAGTTCAGGTGCGGCATGCTGTTTAGGGTTTAGGGTTTAGGTGGGCGCGTGTCTTTGTTTGGTTCGTGGCACAGCGCGTATCTTGAGAACCCATGCATAAAATGCAGGCGCGGTTTATCGCTCTGCAGCACATGGAAATTTATAAAGATCATCCCTGTAAAATCCTTCAGGAGGCCCCTACAATCTGCTTACAACGCCTGCAACTCTTTGGGTTCGATTGGGACCCGACATTTCGAGAAACGCCCACATAGTGCCTCATTCTTGACCTGGCAACATACAACTTTCCCGAGGCAGCAAAGGCCAGCTACGCGGTTTAGGGTTTAGGGTGTTCCGACACCACTGTGATTCACAAGTATGCAGGTTTCTTAAAACTGCCCCTCCAGACATCTTGACTGGACCTCACAGTATTGTGTGCATATCATAATTTTGGGAAGCCTCATTACTCGTGGATGAGCATAGACAGAGAGTCAAAGGGGCCGCGGCGGAAAGAACATAGCACAATCTTCAACGGCATGCAACTAGACGCTGAACCCTAAGCCGCGAGTCTTACATCCTACGCATGCTGCGGCCATGGCTTAAGGAAAGGCAATGTCAGTCAAAGCACAGTAAGAAAGAGAGCCCTCGAAGCAATAGTTTATGAGGGAGCTTTTGGAGATGGTCCCAGTCCATGAGGAGGTCCCACCATCCTCTGTGTCCCTCCACCCTTCTTGTGAAACAAGCATGTCAGTAAAGCTTGTATAGTGACAGGAACAACGCTACTATGTGGCATGGCTAGAATTTGTTGTTCAGTAGGTAGCGTGAACCCTGGCCTTCAACCCTCAGCAACACCCGCATCTGTGAGGCCATGACGATCAATTTCAGGATCGAGGATTCTAATGGCATCACAGTGGTGAGCGACACAACAGTGACCCTGCAAGCGTTAAGCGACGCTGTGCCGAGCAACTGCAGGCAGGGCAGGATGCGCTGGCATGTCCTTTTCAGGACGTTGCAGTTAGCCTCAGGAACCAAAGTCCACAACCCGAAGCCATGAACTCGATGCAATAACCCTTGGAATGCCAAGCAAGATCACCTCACTGTAGGAGCTTGAAAGGCGACCAATATCATTCCTTCTCCATCCTGACGTAAATGAAGCATAATGTACATGTTCAAGCCCCAACATTGTTAATATGCCACATTTCCTAGTAACCCCTAGTCCTAGTAACAGTCATAGTAAGAGTAAGAGTAAGAGCAATGACTACTACACGCAGGTGCACAATGCCCACCATCCCGGATCAAGTGGCTGCCACGTATGGCCAGAACTACGGCTCGCAATGCCAGGCATTTGGTTCCTGTTTAGGGACAAGTACATGGAATATACAGGGGTGCTAGGGATATGTAAGGATATATCGGGGCTTAGGGTCTCCCAACATTGCGGATGCCCTCTTTGGGAGCGTAGACTGTAACGAAGATGGCAGCTAATTTCTGCATAAATGAAGCCACATACCATGGGGAACAGAAAGTCCACTTTCTCACAAAACCACCCTGCTTTAAGTAAGGCTTGGGACAACGCCAAGTGTGATGAACTCTGGGGTGGCTTGCCCTATGATTTGAAGTAGGTGGGTTAAGGGTTTAGGGTTTCGGGTTTAGGGTTTGGGTGAATGTATTCAGGGTTCCATGCGAATATTGGTGGGTGTATATACTAGGTGTCCGCTTCAGGGGACTGTAAATCAAACGACCATCCTGGATTTCAGTTCACGCCCGTGCTTGTACAAAATAACGTGCCTATGGAATTGGGGGCTCCCCTGCCAGAATACCATAAGCCTTGTCATAGGGCCATAGGGATCCTCCCCAATTGGGACCCGCATTTCTGGAATCCCCCCACCATTTCTCGCACTTTTTTTTAAATACATCTGGTGAAGATGAGCAGCTGAGGCAATCTGACTGTTGGCGCCTGGTGCTGTAGGCCCTGGTGTTACGCAACAAGTGACTGTCCAGATGCCTACTCCAGCACCGCCATTCCTGGCCAGTTCTTCAGCTATGCTGCTTGCAATAGCTTCAATCCGGTGTCCCCATGCACCTGGACGGCAGTAGCTGAATCCAATGACCCGTGCAAGTGCAAGAATTCCGCAAGCATTTTCAGCGCGACCATGAATGCCACCTTTGCCAGCAACTATGGCGAGTCCTGTTCTTCATGGGACATGGCAACTTGCGCCACAAACTACCGTCCAGATCAAGTGGACTTGTGGTGCTGTAAAGCCTGGTGCTATGTTGACAAGGCATGCCCCAGCGCAATCCAGTCCCTGAACCCCGGAATGGAGGGTATCTGGGTGGTTGCAATATTACTCCACTTTCCATTTCATCTTCCAGTTGCTTTTCCATTCGATTTTCCATTAGGGGGATAAGGCAGCTTAATTTAAGTTACTTAAGAACAGCCCAGGTATTCTGTTCTGGTCTGACAATGTTTGCCCAGATGACCCAGCCTTGGTGGCACAATGTCCTTACAAGCCAACACCCAATGTGTCATCAACTGACACATCCTGTGACTGCTTGAATGTCACTATGCCCCTTGCAAGCCTACAAAGTGCAGGGCTCAATGCAAGCTTTGCAGAGTACGGCCAGCAGTGTGGACCCCATGATGCATTCATCTGCGACATCACATATCCCGGAGCAACTCATGGCATGTGGTGCTGCATGTCCTGGTGCTGGGTTGATAAGACTTGTCCCACTGCTCGGGCTTCAACAGTGTCTGGGTTGCTGTTAAGGAATTTTCATTAAGTCGCTACTGTAAGGAAACCCTATTATTTACTATATACCCATGCTATGGCAACTCTAAACCCAAATCCTATATACCCTCATTGTAGCAACTTAATCTGAGCACCTCAACAGAAACCAGGTGTGGCCGGGAAACTTCTGGAGCGACACCAAGTGTGAGATGGACGCAGAGATTGTGTCCCTGGGTTGCTACCAAGGATTACAGGGGTTTCAGGTTTAGGGTTTAGGGTTTAGGGTTGGCTTTAGGGGGTTGCTGGTAAGGTAATGTGTTATCCCCTTTGAACGGCAAATCAAAGGCAACATACAATGGAAACTGGTGCAATGTAGGGATTTAAGGAACTCAATTTAAGTTACCCTAATAGGGGAACCATACTAATCAAATACTCTATATAAATATATGTCCATCATGGCAACTTAAGTTAAGTTCCTTAACGGCAACCCAGGTCCGGGTGTCCCTGGGACCTAGCGGCCTGTTCATGCCGGCAGCTTCCCAGTGGGACGCTTCCCAGCCCCTTTGCCGACAACTACGGAAGCTCATGCAATGCCTGGGACAGCGTGTCCTGTTACTGGGTTATTGTTTAGGAACTCAATTTAAGTTACTGTATTGGGGAAATCATTTTAATTACCATATATGTATATACCCATTGTGGTATCTTAATTTAAGTTCCCTAACAGCAACCCAGGTAAAGACACCTGGTTCCACAATCCAAACAGTGGTTGGAACACCTCCGCAGACCACGAGTGGTGCTGTGATTCTTGGTGCTATGTCAATACGAGTTGCCCCATCGCTAGGCAATCATGGCTCGGCACCGGCTATTACTTCAGCTATGAGACGTGTTCCTCAGCTACATTTACTTGTTGTGACTGCCGCTTCTGAACCCAAGACAGCTGACTTGAGACATGCTTCTATATTCTCCACTTATGTAGTGGAGAATCAAATGGAAAAGAACATGGAAAATGAAATGGAAACTGGGGGGAATAGGGATTTAAGGAACTTAATACCAGCTACTGCATTGGGAAACCTATGACTTGTTATTGTATATATATACCCACCCGTAAGTTATTCCACATGTAAGGTGATGACTCAGCCACGACATATAACGAAGCAGCAGACACGTGCGATGCGGCAAGGCTGCTCGAGGAAGAGGAGACACATAGGGAGAATGGAAAAGAACATGGAAACTACTACATAATGCAATAATACAGGGGTTATATAGGGATATATGGGGGTTATATAGCGATAATGGAGAAGAACATGGAAACTACTTGCCCGGGGAAGAGGAGACATTTGAATCTGCGTCCCCTCGTCTACTCTCCGGTCGCCGGCGAGGAGGCAGCCGGTCCCGTCCTCAGTTGATCTTCCACCATGGACCTAATTTAGTGGTACTGTATTGGCAGTATCTATTCTCGAGGAGGTGCGGGGGGGTTCATTTCTGGTCTGCTCAGCTGGCCGCTCGTGGCCTGTTCTGCAAATCGAGGCGAAGCAGTAGCAGTGGCAGCTGGAGCTCCAGCAGCAGTCGCCGACGCTATTCTCCACCAGCACCTCCAACGTTTCCTCGCAGGCGATCCATCTCGCGGCCCACAGCCACTTATCCACGCCGTCGGGCTCCCGTGTCACCGAGACGCCGGGATGTGCGGCGCCGCGCGCCCCCGCCTCCGGTCCCCGCTCCAGTTGCAACCCGAAGGCGTACTACCAGCATGAGTGGGAACACCTACGTGACCAATCCTCGCAGGCGTGCCCCAGCGAGTGTGGTGGACACTCGAAGGAGAAGAAGCCTGCCATATGGCTACACAAGCCGCCCCCAGATGATGAACAATTACGGGGGAACCATGCCGCAGCAAACCAGCTATGGGTATTCCGGCATGAATGCGGTCCCAGCCAACCAGCCTACAAACGTGGCTATGTACGCTGTTGGAGGTGCAGTGGCTGGTGCGGTGGTTGGAGCTGGGGCCATGTATGCCTACAACAACATGTACGGGGATGCCTACGACGTCCATCGGCGCCGACGAATTTATCCCTTTGGCCAGCCAGATTTCTGCATTGTTACGGCTCCGGGTAGCCGCAACGGTGACTTCATGGAGTGTGCGCAATGCCGAAGGCTCTATGGCCAGATCCTGAGATTCTGTTGTTGTCTTTATTTGCAAATGCTGCTTCGTGCTAAGCCCTGAAGAGTGGCAACGGTAGGTGCCGTTTCTGTTGCTAAGTGAAGCCGGCAAGCTCCAAGGCATCTCGTATTGTCCATCCGCCAATTCCTGCTCCACTGCTGCTGGCTGCAGCTACTCGCCACCTCAGAGCCTGAATCGTGATGACCTCGCTGCAACCGGGTTCATTCCCGGAGGCTACACATTCCCACTGAAGGTAATCTTCAATAACATTTCCGGAGATGGAATTGTGACAGATCCCCTTTCCGGTGGCCTCTGTCCTCCAACTACAAAGGCCGAGGCAAGTGTTGTGGAGACCTTCAACAAGACCATGTCCTTCTCACCGGAGCTCTTCTTGGTCCTGACCAAGCAAAGCGTGACAAGAGCAGCGGAAACATGCGACAGGGATACAACGACTCGATGCACCAGCTCGTGTTGGATCGGCTACTCCACATGTGTTACTAGGTAGCACGTCTAGAGAAACCTTCATTGTTCTGATTATGCGCCTAAGAAGACCAAACTATGACCTAGGTCAACGATGTCTGCTTGTGCCAAAATGGATACTGTTGGGATGGCAGTGCTTGCCGGCCCAACGCGTTGGCAGCTGCGCACCCCCTGCATGCCGTGTGCGTGCCACTGGTCCTGGGACTTCTCCTGCGACTGCGAGCCCACTGAAGTCTCACAAGCCTTTAGGGTTTAGGGTTTTGGGCCTAAACAAAATGGCAAGGAACATGCAAACAAAAATCCCATGATCCCTTTAAAGGGATCTCCCCAAATAGCCCAAAACCCTATTCTCATCAGTTAGGCCCGAAGTCTCACAGCCAGTTGCTGCCACTGGATGCTTGCAAGAGAGTCCAAGGGATTGGGTGTTGAGCTGTAGGGTTATGTCGGGTGTATAAGACTGCAAAGGGGAATCAACTCGAACAAAACATGAAGAATGAAATGGAAGCTGGGTTTATGTATGTTCTGTCCCGGATTCTTTGTGTACTCATCGTATAGGTTAGCCCAACTGGACTGCAAAATGATATCGGCCATTTTTAGGTTTCTACATGATAAGTTCGGGTGACAAGTTGCATGAGAATGACATATCCCAGACTCGTGCAGGCGCTGTTGCACTACGTTTCAGCTTGTTGTTGGTCTTTGTCCAAAGCAGACGGATTTCACCGGAAGTAACATTGCGGCATTCTCGGTCCCTTTCAATCACTTACCTTAGGTTGGCTGGGAATGAAGGAATGGAAAAGAAAAGAACATAGAAACTATTATTATGGGTCTCATAAGGACAATTATGGGCATCCATGCCTTCATTCCTAGCTAACCAAAGGTAAGATCATGGCCGATCCTGTAGCTGCCATTTGTTGGGCAGAAAGCTGCTGTACATGAGGCCTGCGAGAATTCCACTTGAGAACTGCTCGCTGCCTCCAAACTCATCGTGGTAGCGATTCTATAGTTCTAGGTTGTAGAAATGCTAGTTACAGTTATACTTACTCTTGACCAAACAGTAGACACTACAAAACTACGTTGATGAACAAAATCCTGATGACGCTATCTACCTAAACCCCTGGAATTATGGTAGTACAGCATACTACTTAAAATCATGCTGGAATTTGTTATTCACCGAAGTCACGGAACGACGATCGGAAAGCTTGACCGAACTCTCACCGCACGTCTTGGCCGGCCACGCGTGCCGCCACCGACCCTACGCAACGAGTGCGATGCTTCAAAGAAGACACGAGGGCAAGCATGACCCATGCTAGGGAGTTGGCAGAGATGCACTTCCATGACTATTTTAGGTGTTATTAAGGACGATACTACGAGTTTAGATTATAACCTATATATTCCCCTATATAATCCCAGTTTCCATTTCATTTTCCATGTTCTTTTCCATTTGATTCTCCATTATTAAAGAGGGATACTAATTGGAGGGTCAGGGGGAATCAGTAAATAGGTTCATAACCTATGAATTCATAACCCCTATAACCTAAACAGTAACCCTACTTATCCCCCTAATAAACCTACTTACTAAGTCCCCCTGACCCTCCAAGTAGGAGCATACCTGCAACCAGGCGGCACAGTACTAGCCTGCAGAGAAGAGCTGGCCAAGCGAGGGGCGAAGAAGGCACGGTGGATGGAATTTTGGCCCTCACTCCAATCTAGACCCTAAAAACTCTAAACCCTAAACCCTAAACCTCTTCTTGCAGTTGCGGCCGGTATGACGTACTACCAATATCATTGCAATTCTGAAGATGATGTTGTTCGTTTCAAGATTTCTCTCCGTTTTTCAAGTTCTTGTTCTACCCAAAGGGCCTGAATGTTGTCCAGGGCTACCCAAATCCGGTTATTGCCTAAAACATAAATACCTATATAACCCCTACCACTTTCCATGCCACTTTCCATTTCATTTTACAATTGATTCTTCATTGCTCTGAGCCCTGAGCCGGGTTTGGAGTTGCCCCTGAACCCTAAGGTCTCTGTCTTTGTCACTCACGGCGTGTTCCCGCTCGGGCCGGGCACATAGACCTGAGCAGAGGAATGTCGGTAGGAAACAAAGGATACATACGGATCATACACGGTTTTAGTTAGGAGGACCCCCGACTCTGTAATAGTGGTTTAATAGGAATATAGTAGGACCCTAATATAGTATTTATTGTCCCTTATAGTCACTATTTCTGGGTGGGGAGGTCCACCTCAATACACGGTTTAGGGTCTAGGGTTTGGGTTTAGAGTTCAGGGTCCCTCTTGAGCACTATGACTATGTGGGGATAAGTCGCTTGAACTCGTACAGTTGTGACTGAAAGAGTCCTTTCGGCACAGCAACGTGAACAGCTGCTAAATAGGGCTCATGCAGGGCTTATTGACGTTTGTCTGGTGGAGGTGTTTGGATAGGGTGCTCTTTGGATCCTGCCGGGGAATTCCCTGAAAACCCTCAATGGTAAAAGGTCAGTTGTGAATGTTTATTGTGCAGGAGCCACTATGAAATGGAGAGGTTCTTTATGTGACCAGATGAGGCAGGCCTCTAATTGGATAGAAGGTTGAGGGTATATTGTGATTTCTCACAGTGTTCATCAACTTCTATGTAGCGAGTGTGAACATCTTAAGCGTATGCCATTCCCACAGGCATACCTTTGGAGAGGAGGGTACACAGCCCTAAACAAACATGTAATTCGTGTAGGTGCCTTTGAAAGGCAGCAGTCCTCGAATAGTGTTCTATGTCTGCATAGGGTTTAGGGTTTAGGGTGAGAAGCGGCTGATAAATCCCACTATACCCGCCGCAATAGAAATTTTGTTTGTTTTCGTGTCAAGGCACCCAGGCCCCACGCCACAACCTCGTTTGAAAAAGGTCTTGGAAGAAATTTGAAGGCGCCGGCTTCGAGAAAATCTTCATCACAGCTGCTGGGGTGCACTAGTTTAGGGTTTAGGGTTTAGGAAGATTTGTGTTAGGGACTGCTAGGGGCCAAAGAGAATAAGAAATGCAACGGTAGTAATGGAAAAGCAACTGGAAATGAGCATAGACCAGGATGCGGAAATTGAGAGGTTCTGTAACGTATCAGCCTAAATAACAAGCAATAGAATGGTAATGACGGAAATTCGCATGGAAATGAAAATGGTAAATGAGATGTAGACTGGGAGCACCTATAGGAATGAGTACCTGACCCTGGTTCTTGTAGTACACCCATGGTATAGGGTACTTCAAAGAAACTTCATCATGACCCCATGGCCCTAAACACTAAATTTCACCGTAGTAATCATTCAGTCAGGTACCACAAGGGACTATTGTAGGTATAGTAAGGCCCTATTACCTCCATCCTGAACCCTGAACCTTAAACCCTAAAGCCTAAACCCTAAACCCTAAGCAAAGTAATATACCCTATTAGCATCATTGCCATTATTCCGCACATTCAGTGTGGGGTTCTAATTGTTTGATGTGCAGTCGACCGCACCCCGACCGAGTGCTAACGTCTTCTACATGACGTTCCAGTCTCCACGTCTGCGAGTTCTGTGCGAGATGGGGCTTCTCAGAATGAGAGCTTCGGGGGGGATATATGGGGTTTCCCAATATTAAGGGGTACCTGCTTGGGGGTCCATATGCTCAGGACGCTAGAATTTGTGGGTCTATATTCCGGTTCCCTAATTTAGGGAAACTACTAATATGACAAAAGAGGATCGCCAATGCAGTGGGGGTCCCATTCAGGGTGAGAGAGGGAGCATTTTGAGAGAGTCCCAGGTAGCAGCCGCTAATGGCTGCTGTTGTTATAGACTACGTGGGTCTTCTGGACTGTGCCTCTCTTGTTTAGGGTAAGCTGATGGCGGTACTTAAAAATTCATCAAGCACAAAACCCCAAACCCTAAAAGAGGGCGGGGGGCCACGTCCCCCTAGCGTTTCCTTGCTCAGGACAGTGTACCAGAGACTTGCGAAGTCTTCCGGGAGCACAAGGCACGGAAAAGGGCGGCGGCGGATTTTGTGCTCTTCTGTCAAACAAGAATGCTTCTGAGTCTTAGAAACTGTAGTTGCATACGTATATATACATATATATATATATAGACACATATGTATATGTGTATATATACACACACCATCTACGCAAACTTTTGAGATGTTCTTGGTATTCTTCTGGTGGAAAGTGCTCCTACTATTGCAGATACGCCGTCAGAAGTTCAAGGAGTTGGAGGCGTCCATGGTCACTAGAAGGATGACTCAGGGGTCACTCTGACAGCGTTAGATTGATCTAGTGACTCTGATTTGATTAGCGCAGGAGCTTCCGCTTTTAGAGGTCCGCGCCAGCATTGTACGATTGGAAATGCTGGCGAGGTCGGCGCTTTGTCATTGTCTGGACTCCTTTTATACCTTCCTTGTAATCCCATATCTCTGAGGGTCTCTCAGGGTGTCCCATCGTTTCGAGAACCCTAAGCCCTAAACCCTGGTAGTTTCCCAAAATAGGGGGACCTCAATATAGGCCCCCAAATACTATAGTCCTTATTATAGGGACCCCCCAACAGGGTACCCCGTCTTTTGGGAAACCCCAAACCCTAAACCCTTAAATAATAATTTTCATTTTCTGGTCCATTATCCCAATATACCCCCCACATAACCCCTATCTAACCACTAATTTTGGGAAACCCCTCCCTATTGGTAAAAGCAATGGAGCCATCCTTGAGGCGTCCCGTGGTGAGTCTGCAACTTTCGAAATCATCGGCTTGGCTCCCGCCCTGCACGAGTATCTGCAAGGTGCCGTCCCGGGTTCAGGGTCTGGGGTCAAGGGTGTAGGGTTTAGGATTTGTAGGTTCAGAGTTCAAGGCCTGCTGGGACTAGGCTTCAGGGACTAGGGTTTCAGGCCTGCAGATTTGGTGTGTAGTGTAGGGTTTCAGGTTCAGGCAGGCAGGGAAGGTTTAGGGGTAATTCGATCGCTGGATCCGGTTGCAATGTATCGGGCTTTGGGTCCAGCGCCCCTAAACCGTAAACTGTGTGGCCATTTGAGCTACAGTCATCTAAACTCCTTCAAGGGGGTTGGTCTAGGGGATTATATCGGGAAGTATTATAGGGGCTATTAAGGGGGCTACTAGGAATCTGGACTATCGTTCATTTGGGACTATACCGCTGCCGGTGTGTTCCTGATGAAGAGTTTGGGTATCCAAAGTAGTGAAACTTCATTATCGTGACTCTTGCTGCCTGTGAACAGGGCCCCTAACTCTTGGAAACCCAGAAATTTTGGCGGGCCCCTCAGTGAGCACCCTAAACTCCAACCCTGAACCGCATTGTGTTGCAGACTGGACGACTTGAAGCGACCTCAACCCTAATGGTGGTGGAAATTGACATTGGTCCCAGACGTCCTTATTTGGGTCTTTCAACCAAATGATTTTTACACGATCTGCCCATGTGAGACTCTGGAATTCTCCATCTTTTGACCAGTAAGACCTGTAATGTTTGCATAGGGACTATAGGGAATACATTGGGATTCTATAGGGATAACTGAAAAGAAGATGGACACTACTATAATATGATATTTCTCTCAGCTGGAGAAATTCCACAAATAAGAAATTGCTGGGAAAGCTTTCTTATAACACTGGAGGGGGGCCCGATGGTCCCCATACCATACTTAGAGAACTCTGTGTATGGGTTGTTTTCAGCACCACCGAAGCTATCCTGAACCCAAGCCCTAGACGTGAAACCCTACAGCCTGAACGTAACCCTAAACCGACAACTTTGGACCTGAACGTTAACCTGAAACCCCGGCAGCCTAATCTGGGTTGCTGTTGAGGTATTTAGATTAAGTTACTACAGTTAAAGAAGGGTATATTTAATGAATACTAGGGTTTCTTTATAACCTTAAACTCTAAACCCAGTACAAACCTTAACCGCTTCGGATAGGCCAAGTGGATTACGCGGCCAGAGAGGCCTGGCGAAAGTGAAATCCTGTAAATGGGGGTCTAAATAGTTATCACTGGGATAGTAACGCGATAATGGAAGATGAATTGGAGAATCAGCTGGCAACTGAGCCTTTATAGGGGTTAGTAGGGACAATACAGTACCCTGGAAACCTCAAAACGGAACCCCAAACGGGTTTAGGGTTTAAGGTTTGAGGGGATTCTTGGGCACAACCCTAAAACCCAAAGTTTGTATGGTCATATATATAGAAATATATATATATATAGCAGTGTGTGAGGATGCGAGAAGTTAAGAGTTTAAGGCTTCAAAGCCAGGGGGTGCTTTTCGGGAGTCCCTTCATACAGGGTAATAGTATTATGGGGTATACAAGTGGGACCCTTGTTTTGGAACTACCCATATAGGCGCATTTTGACAGGGACAAAGGCCATTGTCAGCTTCCATGTTTACCGGGGAAAGGAAATAGTAGAAGTGCAGCCTGAGAAATTTAGCAGGTGTAGACGTTTTGCAAAGCTTTTGGGGGTTCGCAAGCCGGGCTGTCCATTTCTGTAGTTGTAGCTTTTTGCTTCGACAAGATAGGAGACCTTTGGTATTTGATTAGATCTTGCCGTGCGACCGTAGAGTCTCACATCATTTCATGTAGAGCCTTCTCTTGCTTACTTTGGCAGTACCCAAGAAACCCTAAACCCGAAACCCCTTTTTGCATTTCGAAGCAAATTTCAACTTCTTGGGTACTGCCGTTCTTGCGGGTCGACTCAACGTCCCGAGCAAGCCTCCTGGGCTTTCAACGCAGCCATGAAAACAACTTCCCCAAAGGGCCTTTTAATCCATCCCCATATCCCTAAGCCCATATGACCTCTATATCCCCCATATAATCTCTACAAGTCCCATCCGGTTAGACCGGTCTGTTAGAGTTGATGTTGGACCACGTGTCTGGGTCCTCTTACAAGCCCTAAACTACCCTAAATAGTACTATCCACTTCCTTTTCCATTGTCCAAAATAATCCCTACATATTAGAAACACCCTGAATAAAAGTCTGCATGTTCTTTTCTATTATCACAATATAATCCCTACATAATAGAAATTGCATGACGCGTAGAGTTGAGGTCCGAAAAACCGAAGGTGCGCTTGGCTCCCAAGATTGGGCAGTTTCCCACAATAGGGGGACCCCAAAATATCCAATGTCCCATCTTCCTTATTAATTATGATACGGACCCCCAGAAGGGTACCCCGAATTTTGGGAAACTCCCATTTTTGACTCCCATAGGAGCACTATTCTTGAGCCCGTCATCTTCGCAAACCTTGGTTGTAGCTGCTAAGTATTTTGTGATTGCGATTCCGACGGGCTTAGCAATTACGTGAGGATGGCGAGCATCCATGTTGCAAGCCGGTACCTGCGACTTGAGAAACAGTGCGGACAGGTTCCTACTCGAACTCCCGAAAAGGGAAATGTCTTTTCAGGGCTTCATGAGGCTTACAGGATTTCATAAGGCTTGGGAGTGCATTTTCACAGTTGTCTTACGGGGTCAAAACTTCCCTCGCTGTTGTCACAAGAAATTGGTGGACATTGCCTATCCCATTTTCCAAGCGTCTTACAGCCTCAACTTCCGCACTGGTCCCCCTGAACCCTAAACCCTAAACCCTAAATTGAGTGAAGTGTAAGTTTCTCAGAAGATCCGCATGGAATGCTACAGTTGAACGCAGACGGACTCCTACAATCCCCATACATCCCTTGAGGTATCCCAAGGAATTGGTGGTTAAGATGCGGCTGTCGGCTGCCCCCCTTGGCACTTGGCTCATGTGAACAACATGTAGCAAGCAGTGTGCTTCAACATGCAGATTCTTAGTGGCCCTTGCCACTCGGAGAGGCTGCCAGGGTATGGAGCCACGCGTATGCATAGCATGTCGCTATTTTCAGTGCATCAGCTTCAGAAGTTAGAATTCCCGATGAGGCCAGTGCGAATACCCCAGCCCGCAGCACCTATCCGTAACCCCAAAGCGTTCGGCTTACACCCTGGACACGGACCCAAACATGCTACACTTACACGTCTGTTGGAGAAATCCATGCCGCTTCCGACACGGTCCAGGTCGTCTGCCAAGGCAGACTTGTTGCGGTAGCAAGGTTTGGGTTTTCGAGGTTGAGTATGATTCAAACTATGGTGTTCAGGATCCTTCTGATTCTGTGGAATAAATGACATCCATGATGCTGGCACTTTCACTTTTTGCATATGATTTTGAACAACATTATTTTCTTGACTTGTGGAATCCCCCTATCTATTCCCAATTGCAACTTCATCCTTATTCCCTACTATGTTTGGCGTCCGTATTGCAGTAATGACTCCTCAGGACAAGTGTCGTGGATGCCACCCTCAAAGCAACCAAACATGAAACCTCAACTGGCATCCCTCGTTGATTGTTGCCGGTTGCCCTGTTGAGATCCATGGCACTTTATCAAAGTTATTAACGGCCCCTATAACTAATGTTCCTATAAACCCAACGGCCCCGTGTTTCCCTCGGGTCACTCAGAGTATCCCATTTTAGGGACCCTTACAACCACACAGGGCTCCATGGTAGCTTAGGTGAAGCTGGCAATCGCGAGGTAAGTGCTAACCTACTTGCCTCAGAACCTGGACTTGACCTGCTCGTGTTGTAATTTTAGTTGCTACTTGTTAGCTTGCCAGGGCCAAAGATTCATGCAACAGGGTGGGGTGGCTCTATGTGGCTCTCATGTAAGCAGCTGTTGCTTTTGCACGCCCTTCCCTGGACAAGTGTTTTTGTTGTCCGTGAAGGACCCAGGCCCACTGGAAAAGCTAGGCAGGGAAAACACACGTCATCGCCAGATAATGTCCCACAGTCTGTTAAGCTTCTTAATTATCATTGTGGACAATCTGCCTGTCCACTTTCAAAGCAGGCAAGGATAAGCCTGCTTGATGTGAGGGGTGCACTTTTCAGCGCTCCTCCATTGAAATGAATGCCTTACTCTGAGGCTAATCCAGGGTTTCGGGTTTAGGGTCCAGTTCCGCAAAAAAAGGTCCGACAACGAATGCAATTCTGCCCCTGAGGGTTGGGTTGCCGTTGTGTCAGCATCCTGTCAGGTGAATGGGCATTGCGCAAAGTGTCGATGATGCGCCCCTGTGAAGCATGCAGAAGCGCCACCCTGATAAAATCTTTGAAGATGCCGCCTACCTGGGGCTTCTACTGGGAGAGTCTATGAGGGTCTAATACGAGCAGTGTTCGTTGTATCTGATGTGTTATGGCAAGAGCATTCATGAGCATGGTGCAGAGGTAGAGGCGATCATCTATTGGTTGGCTGGCGGGGCATGTGAAGGGAGACTCAAATTCTAAGAGCTACGCGGCAATACATTCTACTATCGACTGCATGGTGGTCCTCTATGCTGTTATAAACCACACAGGAAACGATGCTAGAACCATAGTGTACGGAATGGCATTTCCAGTTTGAACACCTACCAACTTACTTCTGTGTAGCAAGGAATGAAGGAAAGGACCCTCGTAGTGGTCTCTATATAGCCCCACGAACAGAGTAGTCTCCATTGCTTTCCATTCCTTCATTCCTTACTAGCCAGAGGTAGAGTATATAGCCCCCATGTAAACCGCAGTTTCCATTTATTTTATTTCCCATGTGGTTCTCCATTCTTGCGGAATATTCCAACCATGCTGGCTAAGGTACTTCCAGCAAAAGGTGAAACTGGGGCAGGGTGGGTTCGGCACCGTCTGGCGAGCGGTTGATAGAAAGACCGACCAGTTCGTGGCGGTGAAGCAGATCGATAAGCTGCAGTCATACTGGCAGGGAGCAAAGCGTGCTGAGATTCAACTGGAGATTGACATTCTCAGAGCTTGCAACCATGAGAATATCACAAAGCTGTACAACTACTACGAAGAGAGCCGGACGATTTCGATTGCGCGCGGCTCAGTCAGCCTGTTATGTTTCTGTGCCTGTGCCGGCCAGGAACAGAAAGGCTACCAGTACGGCACTTTCTCAAAACAGTATATACGGTATACTGAGTTGGGCCCCTTCTTCTTCAGCTATTGTCTGGCCTCTAGTAGTTCGGGTACCCACCACAGTTTGGCAACCCCCGCATATCAGGGGACCTCCAGTAATCTCCTCATTATCCCTAGAGTCTGTGAAGTTCCCTCACAAAGGACCCCAATATAGGGTTTAGGGTTTAGGGTGTCCATGCCCTGCTGAAAATCCTCAGTTCTTCCTGCAAAGCTGAGGTCCTGGAATATTGCGATGGGGGTGATTTGGATGATAAGCTGAAGGAGCAAGGCGGGTTGGTGGCTTAGGGTTTAGGGGTTTAGGGCTTAGGGTTTAAGGGGTTAAGGTTTAGGGGCTTAGGGTTTAGGGTTGTTTGAGGCTCAGGGTTTGGGGCTGAGGGTTAGGAGGGTTCGGCCTCGGATTTTGGCTGTTACAGCAGATGTTTGGTAGCAGCAGCCTACCCGAGGGATCCCTACCAGAAGGAAAAAATCCCAACTCTGGCCTCATACCCTACAGGCCCTACAGTGTCTTATATTGGGTACTGCCCCCCCTCAGTATCAGTTGGACAATAAATATAATAGGGGTATATATCGCCCTTAATAGGACCCATAATATAGACTGTTACTGGGGGGGGGGCAGTACCCAACTTATAGTTGGTCTCATAAAACCAAAGCCTTAAATCCTGTAGCGCTATGTCGGAACACCTGGGCCGGTTTAGGGTTTAGAGATCCCTACAACAGGGCCCCACATTGCTGCGAACTGCGCAGGTTGGCAACTGCGAGAGGCGGATGCCAGTGCATGGACGAGGTGAGCCTCGTAGATTCCGATGACACAGGCCCCAAGTAAGGGACCTGTACAGTAAAGGGCCCCAAACCCTAAACCCTAAATCCTAAACCCTAAACCCTAAATGTATGTATGCGTTCACCCCCTTTGAAAAAGGTGAAATCCTCAAGCAGCAGGCTCCCAGATGCTTATGAAATCCTAGGTTCACACATTCGCCCCTTAAAAGCGGTTAATCTTTGGGGGGGAACCATATACATATATATATATACACGTATATATATATATATATGTATGTGTATATATGTGCACCTATATAATACAGAGATAGATTTAGAAAAATAGATATAGGCTTAGATGCATAGATATATTAATATACATAGATAGATAGATCTACTCATTTATAACATCAGGGTTACAGGGGCCTAGGTTAGGGTTTCCGGTCTGGATAAACCCCTGCTCTAAAAAACCCAACGCACGACCCACAACAAGGAAGGGGCTTTAATGCATCGAGGGTCTAAATTGTTTCCATGAAGGTTGGGAAAGCTGAGGGTAGGTATTTACATGCGGAACGACAGCAGGCGTGAACACAAGTCTGACTTATCATGAGGAATCTACTTCTCTTTGTGGCTGCCGCTACCGCTGCTGCCGCTATCGTTGCTGCCGCTGCCACTACTACTGCTGCTGCTACTTCAACATCAACAACAACAGCAACAACAACAACAACTACTGCTGCTACTACTACTACTACTATTACTATTACTATTACTACTACTACTACTACGACGACGACGACGACGACGACGAGGACGACGAGGAGGAGGAGGAGGAGGACGACGAGGACGACGAGGACGACGAGGACGACGAGGACGACGAGGACGACGAGGACGACGAGGACGACGAGGACGACGAGGACGACGAGGACGACGACGACGACGACGACG